GTTTAGACTCAGAACTTCAGCTTCAACGGTTCGGGCGACAAGCATCGAAATCGAATTTCAGGGTGCATGTTGCAAGGTGCATGTATACGGTATACGTGTACTCCGGCCCTTGGGCTCCGCGCTACCTGCGAAGGATCAGAGTCTCCGTTGCATCCTCTGGGTCTGTAGGACTGTGAATCCCCACCCTCAAGCTCAGAGCCCTAGTGCAAACCCAAATGCACAGCAGTAGGCGGTCTAGATATGTTTGTAGATGCCTAGGGCTTCAAGCCTGCAGGTTCGGGGTTGTGACGGAGGCGCACACCCTAATAACCTTGAAACCCCACGACGAACTACTGCATGCCTGTGGATCGACATGGCATAAGACTTGAAGACGCTTCACGCAGAGCCTCAGCGCTGCGCAGGGATGGCAGATCCGAAAGCTGGGTAGCTTCCAAGCTCCAGGGATGGGTTGTGGCATAGAGATCAGGATTTGGGGAGTGGCTTAGGGCTTGCCATTCACGATGTCAGGATTTAGGCTTCAGGATTCGGGCATAAGGCACAAGCGTGTCAAGGGCTGGCATTCTGCAAACGAAGGTGAGGGCCTGAGAAGGTCTTTGTACTCGTTCTCCCCGACTTAGAAACCGGCTATGCTCTTCATGATGATGACGACGATAAGGGTAGTAGCACAACCAACAATTCATGAAGATGAGCTGTGTAGTTCAGCTGCCTATACCTACCTACTACACTTCGTGCAGCCAGCTGGAAAGGAATCTGCAGCCCATCTTCATTCCCTGCCACCGATCGTCTGAGTCTATGCTGAACACACGGCGATGGTCATAATGTCCGTTCAAAGATGAGTTCGAAGCTGGCGAGCTGCTCAAGGAGGCTGCTGGAGCTCCCACACATGCGTTGTACCACTCTTTTTACTGCCCAGGGGCCCAGTGCGCTGAAATCCTGCAGGATGTGGCAGCTGAGGTCGTCACTCGCCGTACTCGTCAGGCGCCGTCTGGAGTGGAAGAGGCCCAATGGCATTCATGGCCACTGCATAGACATCACCTGCCCGACCCAGATACTTGGGCGTCGGGATTTGGCGCCTGGGATATCATGATATCGCACTCCGGATGTGTGCACCACAAGCTCGCGATTCAGAAGCCCGCCCTTGAAGCACCAGCTGTGGGGTTCTGACAAACCCTAGTACCAAATCTAAACCCTCTCTAGCACTCGGCGCCTGATTGGGACCTGGTGTAGTTTAGATTTCAATTCTTCAACCATGACCCTCTGGATAAGAGGTCGACAATGTGCTATCCGGAGAACAACGACAAGTCTTGATGTCCACGGGCGCACCTAGGTCTTTCTTGTCCGGCCAAGGTAGTCTCTCGGCTTCATGCACCAACGCAAGAATTTGCCGCACATTGCCTGCCACAGCTTCGGAGCTCGGCCCAACAGAGCTTAATTGGTGTCAGGCGCCCCCGAGTCCTTCAGAGGTTTCCTGTATCCTGCAAGGGAGCCTGATAGGGTAAGGGCTTCGTACGAGGCTTCTCTCAAGGGATTCGACGAAGGTTTCGAAAACGTTGCAAGGGGCACAAGGCACTTTTAGATTGGCGCCTGGCGGTTTGGGATTCAGAGGTCAGGTAGTTTGCACATTTAGGCACTCCGTGCTCGCTGGTGTGGGAGCCCATCGCAAACCGACATTCCAAACCCTAAGACTGTATACAACCTACGACTATTATGTTCAAGAGCTTCTGTTGCCTGGAATCACCCTCCAGTAATTAAGGATCTCATATCCGGACCTCTCCACCTGAAGCTCCCGCGGTATCCTCTTTCCAAATCGTGTTGGCGGGGCTGTAGCTTTGGCCGCTGCACATGGGGGTGGTAGGCGGTTGTTGTGGCAGGAACAGGATAAGGGAGATGCACTAGCAACAGCAATCAACAGATTTACAAATGATCACAATCCTTACAAGTATGGATCACGCAACACGCACCGTGTTGAACTATCTAGCAATCACAGGAAACTAACCACATGAGCAGTTTTCCAGGTGCGCCTCGGCCTGTTGCTTGCAGTAATGGCAATAATACTAGTAACTTTAGCAATCCTACTAGTAATGGCTAGACTTTGCGGGGGCTTGCGGCTGGCTACTGCGGTATTACCACTGGCATGGTCGCGTCGCGTTGTGCGACAAGCCCATCGAGAATTCCACCTTCCAGGGTCCCGGTTGGTAGGTCCGAGGTCCGCAATTTTGTCGGGAATAAACCTAAGCTCACTCCCGACCAAATCGCATTGGTCGCATCCAAGACCCACGCCGGGAAGAAACAAAAAACCCTACCCTGGAAAGCCGACACCTCTCGTAAGCTCGATTAAACCTCTAAACCGTCACCCTGGATAGATCACTCCCGAAACTCAAACCCAACAAATCCAAAGCCAACACTCCACATCCTAAGCCCTAAACGCCTATTAAATCTTACATCCTAAACATCAGCCTGCGGCCAATCGGAGGCGCCGTTTGACCGAGGTACGGCCGGACATCTCCTTGCGAAGAGATGCAGAGATGTGGGGACTTTCAGACCTTTCAGGCTTTGACTCCATTATGCTGTAGAGCTTGTGTTCAGGATCTCGGGTTTCGGGATAGGCAGAAGGTTCTCTCGACGGGACGGCGATGCTACATGTCCATTATGGAGCAAAGTCGTGAAGTCGTAGGGGAGATGAGGTGACTGTTGTGGCAATGCAACGCTAGCAGGAAGGCGTTGACTGCGAGCACTGGGTGTCTCAGAACTTGCCCCGCCGTATGACAGTTCACCATGCTAGTTGCTGGAACGAAACTTATTTTAACAACTCATGGTTTCGGTGTTGGCATCATGTTTGATATCCGAGGGCCAGGTGGCCAGGTTGGTCGTAGAAACTACGAAAACATGGACAGCTGCCAAAGTTCTAGCAATTGGCTGAAACTTAGGCTATGCAACCCCCAACAGTCGGAGCCTCAACTTGGTGCAAAGACTGGATCCACCCCATAACGGCAGACCAACATGCAGACAGGGACTTTCCAAGCCCAGACTGGCAGAAAGCCCCAGCCAATACCAGCAACACCCGCAAACTCCGACAACCTCGACTCCGAACTGCTACACTGCTACACCTGCCAGCGAAACCCTAAAGCCTCACACGCCGAAATCTTCTTATTCCGATCGACACACCCTCGCAGGGTCCTGGCTGCGTGGTGCGCCCGGGCTAGGCTTTCTGCATCCGCTATTGTGCGTAGTACGGCTAATTGGCACACTTGGGCTACATCTCAGTATCATCACCCGCATAATGTGCACCCCAATCTCCATCGAGGGCTGTTGAACGCTGCACCCTCAACCCACACTTCACCATGACCTGGCATAATTACCTACAGCTCGGCAAACGCAGCCAGGGTCACGGAGGCAGCATGTTGTCATCGCATGTTGTCGAGTTTCGTTTCCGGGCTAGAGTTGAAGTGCTGAGAAACTCGGCGTGAATGGGATGCCGTGGGGTCATTGGCTTGAAGTCTTGATCACGCATAGTTAGCGAACACCCGAGTGCTGCAACAAAAACCCACAGTTTAATGCAAGTGATACAAGCCTAGCCTTGCGACTCGTGGTCTGCTTGACGGAATTACGTTGTTGTTCTGCTCTCTTGCGACCGCCTTCGGCTTCACAAATGCGGTTATACATAGTATAAACAAGTAACCTGAAACAACTTGCGTTTTTATCATCAACACCGCATAACCATTCCGGTGCTGTAGCTGCCTGCGGTTTTCTGCCGCAACTTGCTCAAGCTCTGAGATTTCTTCTGCGAGATCTGTCGCAACGGCCGCCCGCGCGAGCCATTTCCTGCTGACAACCCACAAGGGTGGAAAGTTTAGGACTCTGGCGGACTCTGGCACGTACGCTGCAACAACCACCGCCCCAACATCCACTACCATGATGCTGATGGTCAAGATGATGAGGACGACGAAAACGATAGCAGCAATGGCACTGAGGAGCAACTGGTTTAAACGCACGATTTTGCACGAGTAGTCGCAGTGGTAGTCCTAGTAGTAGTAGTAG